TATATATATATATATATATATATATATATATATATATATATATATATATAAATAAATAAAACTTCTTGAAATGTACAGTTTATAAGTATATCTCTCTTCTAATTACTAGAGCTCTGTGAACTGTTCTGAGCCATTTCGCATGGGCACATTTTGAACAAGGAACCTAGCTTGCCTCTGGCTGAATCTCACTGCAAGCCCATATAGGGAGTCTTTTAATTCAATAGGACTGTGCCCATATACTCTGTCAGTGTTCACCGGTAGTGGCTATAGGGTGCAGTTTTAATGCAGCTGCACAGCTGTAATCTTAAGCAAAAAAAAAAAAAAAAGCCTTCTTGGAATATACCAGATCTCTGCATGCATTAGGACAGCAGATCTGAGGCTCTAGTTCATGACCACTGATGGTCCACAGATAAAGACTCCTTTCTTCTTGCCATCTGTAAACTATCACATTAGAAGGAAATAAAAATCCTTTCTAAATATGCATTTTCTATATAAGAAATGATGGAGTAGTTCTTCGAGTGCTTGCTCATGTCCATTCCATGTTAGGTGTGGACATGCACCCGGGCTGGAAGTTTTTCTCTCAGCAGTATCCGTAGGGGACCGGCTCTGGCGCTCCCTGAAGTGATGCCTGCATGGCACTATATAAGGGCGGTCTATGGCCCATCTTCGACCTGCGAGACCTCAACAAGTACCTAAAGAGGCTAAAATTCCACATGGTGTCTCTGCTTCTGTCATAACTATAAAGGGAAGGGTAACAACCCTCCTGTGTACAATATTATAAAATCCCTTCTGGCCAGAGACACCAAAGTCCTTTTACCTGTAAAGGGTTAAGAAGCTCAGGTAATCTGGCTGACACCTGACCCAAAGGACCAATAAGGGGACAAGATACTTTCAAATCTTGGGGGAAGGGGAAGGGGGAGAGAAAAGGCTTTTGTTTGTGCTCTTTGTTTTGGTGTTGTTCGCTCTTGGGACTAAGAGGGACCGGACATCAATCCATGCTCTCCAAATCTTTCTGAACAAGTCTCTCATATTTCAAACTTGTAAGTAATAGCCAGGCAAGGCGTATTAGTTTATCTTTGTTTTTCTCAACTTGTGAATGTTCCTTTGTTAGGGGGAGGTATCCCTGTTTTGCTGTAACTTTGAAACTAAGGCTAGAGGGGGTTCCTCTGGGCTCTGAATCTGATTACCTTGTAAAGTTATTTTTCATCCTGATTTTACAGAGATGATTTTTACCTTTTCTTTCTACTAAAATCCTTCTGTTAAGAACCTGACTGATTTTTCCATTGTCCAAAGATCCAGGGGTTTGGGTCTTTGATCACTTTGTAACCAATTGGTTAGGATATTATTCTCAAGCCTCCCCAGGAAAGGGGGTGTAAGGGCTTGGGGGGATATTTTGGGGGAAGAGGAACTCCAAGTGGTCCTTTCCCTGTTTCTTGTTAAATCACTTGGTGGTGGCAGAGTACCAGGTTTTAACCTACGCTGGTAGAAATAAGCTTAGGGGGCTTTCATGCGGGTCCCCACATCTGTACCCTAGAGTTCAGAGTGGGGAAGGAACCCTGACAGCTTCTATTATCCCCTTCCTGGATCCGGGAGACTGGTATGCCACACTCAACTTGAAGGACTCATACTTCCACATAGCGATCTTTCAAGGACACAGACGCTTCCTTCCAGTTTACAGTCCTCCCATTTGGTCTGGCGACAGCACTGAGGGTGTTTACCAAGTGCATGTTGGTGGCAGCGGGTTACCTCCAGCACCGGGGCATCCGGATCTACCCGTACCTCGACGACTGGCTTGTCAAGGGCAGCTCCAGGTCTCAAGTCTAAAGGGATGTTGCAGTACTTCAAGCCACGTGCCGCTCTCTGGGCCTACTGGTAAATGACAAAAAGTTAATGTTTGTGCCAGTGCAGAGGATAGAGTTTATCAGAGCGGTCCTCGACTCAACCTGCGCCAGAGTATTCCTGCCACTGGAAAGGTTCCATATATTGACGAACCTCATTGCAGAAGTCTCCGCATTCCCTCTGACTACAGCCAGGGTCTGTCCGCGCCTGCTGAGCCACATGGCAGCGTGCACTTACATGGTCCACCATGCCAGGCTCCAGATGCAGCTCCTGCAACAATGGCTGAGGATGCTCTATTTCCAGTCCCTCTGGAAAAGATTTTTACCACTTCCCAAGCGATACTTACTTTGCTGCAATGGTGGACTGACCTCAAGACAGTCCTGGAGGGGGTTCCATTCAACAACCCTCCTCACTCCATCGAGCTGATGTCGGATGCCTCGGACTTCGGCTGGGTGTGCATCTCAGCGTCCTCCAGACTATGGGGATGTGCTCCCCCGAGGAGGCGCAGTTGCATATAAATGTCAAAGAGCTCCGAGCAGTCCGGTTGGCGTGCAGAGTCTTCCTGCCCCACCTGTTGGGCAAGGTGGTACGAGTCCTGACGGACAACACAGCCTCGATGTTCTACATCAACAGGCAAGGAGGAGCACGTCCGTCGAGACTCTGCCAAGAGGCACTCCGTTTCTGGGACTTCTGCATCAGCCACAAAATCCACCTGGATGCTTGTCACCTTCCCGGCGTTGGGAATATGCTGGTGGACCAGCTCAGCAGGCAAGTCTCTTCTCACCGTGAGTGGTCACTCTATACAGAGGCAGCCTGCATCATCTTCCAAAGCTGGGGAACTCCCCAAGTGGACCTGTTTGCTACCAGACAGCACAGGAAATGCCACCGGTTTTGCTCTCGGCAAGGTCTGAGCAAGGGTTCCCTCTCCAATGCCTTCCTCCTGTTGTGGTCAGGGAGCCTGATGTACGCGTTCTCTCCGATTCCACTCATCAGTATGGCCCTGGCAAGGATCAAGAGAGACAAAGCGCAGGTTGTCATGATCACCCTGGTGTGGCCTTGCCAGCATTGGTTCGGCACGCTCATGAACTTGTCAACGGC